CCTGTTTGATGAGGCACTGAGAAGAGACTTGCTAAATTTCTGGGGAGAACATCCCCAAGTAACTGTGTTACAATACGTTGGTGACATATTGTTGTCCTCTAACACCTATGACTTGTGTAGAGAGGCAACTGAGGACCTGCTGCGAGAATTGGATAAAATGGGCTACAGAGTCTCTGCCAAAAAGGCTCAGCTTTGCTTATCTCAGGTATTATATTTGGGCTATAGACTGCAGGAAGGACAACGAACTCTGTCTAATAAATGGATTGAAGCTATATTAAAAATCCCTGTCCCTACCACCAAACGACAGGTAAGAAAATTTCTGGGGCTCCTTGGATATTGCAGGCTTTAGATCATAGGATTTGCTAAAATTGCCCAGCCTCTATATGCCAGTACTGGTGGGGACCAAAAAAAAAAAAAAAAAAACAAAACAACTCTGTTTTAGTAAATCTAAACAAGAGGCTTTTGAGGCTCTAAAGAAAGCCCTTGCTTTGACTCCTGCCGTGGCTCTGCCTGATCTGACAAAACCATTCCAGCTCCATGTACATGAAAGCAAGGGAGTTGCTAAAGGGGTCCTCACCCAATACTTGGGGCCCTGGAAAAGACCTACAGCATACCTGTCTAAGAGACTAGACCCCGCTGCAGCAGGTTGGCCAAACTGCCTGCGAGCCATAGCCGCCACTGCCATTTTGACAAAAAAGCTCTAAGCTCACGTTTGGCCAGGAGCTCCAAACTGTGGCTCCTCACACAGCTGAGAGCCTTCTTAAAAGCCCTCCTAAAAGATGGCTCTCAAATGCACGGATTGTACAATATCAAGCTTTGCTCTTAGACCCAGCCCGTATTAACTTCTTGTCCACCTCAGCCTTAAACCCAGCCACCTTGTTACCAGACGATAATCCTGAGGCCCCACGCCATGACTGTCTTGAGGTGCTTAGTACAAAAACAAGCCTGAGAGAAGACCTCACAGACATTCCTATGGACGATCCTGATGCTACCTTGTACACCGATGGAAGCAGTTTTGTCCTAAATGGGGTACGTTATGCTGGGGCAGCAGTGGTCACAGAAGACCAAGTGATCTGGGCCCAAGCCTTGGGACATGGGACATCTGCCCAACAGGCAGAGCTCATTGCCTTAACCCAGGCCCTCCACCGTGGACAAAATAAGCAGGTGAACATCTACACTGACAGTAGGTATGCTTTTGCTACCCCTCATGTACATGGAGCTATCTATCAAAAATGAGGTCTATTAACCACAGGTGGACATAAGATCAAAAATGCCCAAGAGATCCTGGACTTGCTTGTAGCTGTGTGGCTCCCCAAAAAGGTGGCAGTTATCCACTGCCAGGGACACCAGAAGGTAAACTCTCCAGTGGCCAAAAAAAAAAATGCTCTGGCAAATGCCACAGCCAAAAAAGTGGCACAAAAACCAGTGGAGCACTCAAGGCACTCTTGCCTGCCCTGCCACCCAGAGTGCTAGATCAGCCCACTTACTCTGATACAGACCTTTTGTTGGCTAAAAGCTTAAAAACCACACCAACACAGGATGGCTGGCAAATGCTGCTGGACAGCAGGATTCTCCTTCCTGAGGCACTAGGCCAAGAGCTCATTCAGCAGATATACCAACGGACTCACTTGAGAAAAAATAAATTGACTAAATTGTTGCAAAAATCCTACTTCATACCCAAACTAAATCAAATGACTAACAAAACCAGCCAAAGGTGTCTCCACTGTGCCCAGGTAAACCCCAACAAGATTACTTCTAAACCTAGACAGCACGCTAGAGGTATGTCTCCTGAAAAACACTAAAAAATTGATTTCACTAAAATGGGTCCAGAAAAAGGAGGATATCGTTACCTCGTTTTAGTGGATACCTTTACTGGATGGACGGAGGCCTATGCCACCCGATCAGGGTCAGCTCTGATAGTGACAAAAAAGTTATTGACAGAGATTATTCCCAGATTTGGCTTGCCCATTACTATGGGGTCTGACAATGGTCCAGCTTTTATAGCCCAGATTACCAAAAGTCTGTCCCAGGCCCTAAAATTAAAATAAAAGCTACATTGTGCATATAGGCCTCAGAGTTCAGGTCAGATAAAAAAATAAATCGTACTCTAAAAAAAAAAAACCATTTCAAAACTAGGGTTGGAAACTGCCAAAAACTGGGTGAGTTTCCTTCCTTTTGCTTTATTAAGCCTGCTGTACTCCCTATATACACGGGATCACTCCCTTTAAATCTATGTATGGTCGAGCACCTCCCTTAATCCCCAAACTGGGGGACGAAATCCTGACATCCATTTCTAATCAGGACCTTGTTAAGTCCTTACAGGCTCTGCAGTCTACTCTACAGGCTACACAATCCCTCTTCTGCCGTCAACATTCAAGACCAGAACAACTTGACAGTCCACTGGCTGCAGAACCTGGCTCTCTGGTGTGGATAAAAAAGCGGGATCCATCCACATTGGGACCTCACTGGGTAGGACCTTATCCTGTCATCCTGAGCACGCCCACCTCGGTCAACATTGCTAAAAAGAGACACTAGATTCATCACACCCACATTAAACCGGCTGCAGTAGACGACAACTCCACAAGATGGTCAATCAAAAAGACGCCCGATCCGCTCAAGGTCAAATTAGTACGCCAGGATACAGGCCCGGCCTAACTTTCTTTTCAGTTCTTATTATGCATTATATAATCTCTAAATTTCATGCGCTGTCAGCCATACCTGCTGTGTCTGTAATTAATTCCCATGATAACATGTAGGTATAGATGACAAACACTCTTAATTTGTCAACTTTCTGCTTGGAACAAACCTTAAATCTTCAATATGTTCTGGGTTCATGCCTAAGACCAGTGTGCAAGCCTGCAGAAGATATTAAAAATTTAACCTTTTTAAAACACATTTCTAAACCTGCCCCATATTATGACTTGGCTAATTGGGGACCTGTCTCACATAATGTACCACATAGTACCCTACATTTTGTTACCCCAAAGACTATAATTACTTTCAATAAAACTTGTGTGCAATTTTTAAACTATACTAAAAAAAGTTGTCACCAATTGTCAGGGTTTCTAAATTGTTCTAGTCTTATAAAGTATCCATATATAACTAGTAATATCTTATTATCCACTGGATGGTTTTTCACATACAATGGACATACTTTTAACTATATCCCAGCTTATTTGGATGGAGTCTCCTGTTGTTTAAGCAGGCTGACTATAATTCTTCCATCTCAAGATGATTTGATGCTACACCATTCAAAAACATCATCACCCCGCAAAAGGAGAGAAGTTTCTAACATTCCTCTTCCTCCTGACTATAATGATAAAGTCACTTTCCTGTCTGATGCAGAAGCCTATGCTATGATAATCAGTGTTATTAAAAACCTATACTTTGGTAGAATAGCAGAAAAACCTGTAAAACAATTAGGTTGTAATGTGGCCAAAGCTCTTAATGCTACTTCAACAGCCACCGCCCTACTCAATGCAGAACAAAAAGAACACAGACAAGCTATATTAGACAATCGGGCTGCTATAGATTACTTACTATTGTTTCACCATCAAGGATATAAAAAATAAAAAACATGTGCTGTTTTAACTTATCAGATAACAGTCATCAGATACAGAATCAAATAAACATACTAAAAAAATTAGCTCAAGATATCCGTCAAGATAATAATAGGGGGTTATTTTCAATATCCCCCTAGATAAATAATCTGATAACTGCTCTGATTGGGCTCGTGATCATATTTCTTCTGGTCCTGCTCATTGGACCTTATATAATAAACTGTTTGACTACATATATATGACAAAAAATCCAGACGATTAAGTTAATGGTGTTGAAATCTAACAATGAGCCTCTCACACCCCTAGGCAACTCAAGTTATGAGGTTTAGATAAATCAAAGATTTGATTCCCAGATAAAAACCAGTGGGGAATGTAAGGCATTAATAGAGTTTTGTGCCTTAATTGTGAAAAATTATAAAAACCCCTTGTGCTTTTTGTTATTGGCTCTAAGAAATGTGTTCTACCTTTCGGCTCAAGGCTGTTCAACAATAAATAACTGTTTTCTTGTCAAGGCAGCAAGCTAACACAAACTCCCTCCCCAACCATCTCCTGTAACTTAGTCAGCTTAAGATGTATCTTATAAAAATATACTTATCACTAAGCTGTAAAAGACCTTTTAGTTATAAACAGTTTACAGCTGTGTCAAATAAATGCAGTTTCTATTGTTCTGTACTAGATAACAAGTTTGCTTACCAAACTGGATGTGATTTCTGTTATAAATACCCCCTTTGCTACCTACGTTCGGGGCCAATCAGCCTTCTCCTGCAAGAGAAGTGGCTGGAGGACCTGAGCTCAATAAATAAAAGGCTCTATTCAAATTTCTATCTGGCTGATCTGGTTCCTATGCAGAGTTGACCCATAACAGAGAGGAAGGATTCTGAGAAAGTAGTTCTGGCTGTAGTTTGTGCCCTTAGCCAGTTTACACACGGTCTTGCTAAAGGATGAAGGGAAGCCACTGGGAGGCTTTAAATCGGGAGCAATCACATTTCCTGCGGGACCATCATTCTTCCACCAGTGGATGTTTGGCTAAAAGGGGCCAAGGATGGGAATAAGAAGGCTCCGTGGTGCGGCCCCAAATGGGGAGGCCCTGAATGAACCAAGTTGGTGGCAGAGGGCAGACAAAAGCAATAGATCGTGATGTCTTCCTGAGTGCAGCCCACCGAACTCGGTTTTGGATCACATCTCAGTCCAGGTGAGAGCGAGGCTGGGCAATTCAACGGACGTGGAAAGGCACTCAGAGAGGCGGGCACGCGGGACGCCTAGGAGGCTCAGGCAGCAGCTCGGCTTGGACCCGGTAGCCGGCAGGGCCTCCGAGCCCCGGCCCTAGGCCAGACTCCAGGCGGGAAGACCGGCCAGGACTGGGGGCGGTTCGCGCGCTCGACTGGAGCCGGGTCGGAAGCTCAGCGCGCAGGCGCAGCGCGCGGGGCGCCCCCTGGCGGGCGCGGCGACAACACAGGAAAGACCCGCCTCCTACCTCGCGCCGCCGCCGCCGCCGCCGCCGCTCCAGCCCAACATGGCGATGCACAACAAGGCGGCCCCGCCGCAGATCCCGGACACCCGGCGGGAGCTGGCGGAGCTCGTGAAGCGGAAGCAGGAGCTGGCGGTGAGGGGCTGGAGCGAAGTGCCCGCCGCGCTGGCCGTCCTCTGCGCCGGGGGCGAGCCTCGCGGCCCGCGGGCTGCTCGGCTTCGCGGCCTGGGGA